CATTTGGCCCAACTAGTCCATGACAGTGTTTATGCTCCACATGAGCCCCAACCTCCTATTCCCTTCTCCTTTACCCCTCTATTCCCTTCTCTCTTATGTCATATCGCCCACATATACAGTCACTCCACTTTACAGTATGTCCTGTGAAGCGCTTTGAGAAGTCTCAACAATGTAATAAGGTGCTGTATCAAATGCATGGATTATTATATTATGTGTATGCATCAAGTTCCTTTTTAAATACATCAATGCTTTTTGCTTCAATAGGCTATAATCAACAGCTTTTGCAGTGAATACTATGAAATTTAAACTCAGTTTAAAGATGTGTACAATTTTTAAAAAATCTCCATTCAAGTCAATATTTTGTAAGAAATTCTACACTAATGGCCAGTAGGGTGGATGCGATCCCACATTAGAGCCCTATAAATTGCAGGGAGCTCCCTTACTTAATAAGTGGAGAGAAGAAAGAACTTACATTTTTATAGCATCTATAATGTCAGTGTCTCCAAAGGTCCTCATGTGAAAATAAAGGTTGTTTTGAAATTTCGGACTTGACAAACCTTAGATTGTTCAGAAGCCAGTGCTGGTCCAAGGAATGAATTGTACTCTTCATATAAAATAAATCAACTTGCAGTTTCCACACTCTTGAGAGAGGCTGAGTGAGCTGATTTCATGCACACATTTGGGTCGGACCAACTTGATGGCAAACACAAGCGTCTGCTTGTGATTGAGAAATTCAATAATCGGGAAGCTGTGCAGCCAGGACTAAATATTTATCTGTCCAGGCACTGGTCATGTGAACAGTAAAAACAAACAGTCGAACTGTAACTAAGCCTTTGTTGCTTTCTGTCTGACAACCTGAGTATTAGGATACAACTGGCTGGTCTCCCTGACCAGTGTAATTCAGAGCCTTAGCTCACTGTTAGCAGTCTGAGAGGATGAGGCCTGTGGTTGCACTATGAGCAGTGTAATGGATGGAATCTGGTTGTGGTGGTTTTAATTGAAGTTAGGACATTAGGAAAAGGAGGTCATTCAGCCCACTTTCCATGAGACCTTTCCATTTCCAAAGCGATGCAAAGCTTCTCTAATCCCGCCTTCCTGCCATTTCCCTTAATATTTTTACTACTGTACTCCAGTATTTATCTATCCATCTCTCTCTCTCAAATCCGTGAACATATTTCTTATCTATGGCTTTCTGGGGCAGTGCATTCCACATTACTCTCTGCGAGACCCATTTTTTCCATCCTATTTTGCCTTAATTTTAAGGACATGTTGACATGCTGCCCACCACCTGACCTCATACCCTGCGCACAACTAGTGTTGAGCCACTGGCTTCTTTGTAGAACAGTGTCTACAAATAACAAATCCAGGCTGTGTCTCAGTGGCTATTTGTAACATTACATCTTGGGGTCCGGGAGTGGCTGCAAATATGTGATGTTTGATGGTTCAGATGATTGTACACTCATTTCTGCAATAGTTCAGTGCATAAGAAATGTCTTGTACAAGGTCAGTCAGTCACCAATGTTCATCACGACTGCAGAAGAACTCTCATCACAGCGGCTCTCATGCATGTCGCAGCCTGAGACACCTTAAGGTTGTAACTATTATTCTATTCTAGTGCTCAATTGATCCATTCTGAGATACTGTTCTTTACTGTTGATGTGTTGCTGCAGTTATCTTGCATTTGAAATCAATGTTTTAGTTAGGAGGCCATTCTACATTTTAAAGTGTGTTCTGACAGCTCGGGCCTGCTGCAGTTGAACACAGGACCTTGGGTATGGATTGTAATTTGGCTTTGAGTGCACACTAACACTGGCCTTTCAGTATGAGACCTGGCTTTCTTGGTGCTCTCGTGAGAAAACAATGACCCACATCTGCTCTTCAGTATGGGTTTTCTTCATTACTAAATGCTCTGTAATTTTGGAGGGCTGGGCAGGGCTCAGCTGTTCTCGGCTTGGCACATCACCATTCTCAGCAATTTCTGAGAACCCATTTATTGTGCGCACATGTTAAAGTTTAAGTGAAAGTTCTGTGGTATTTACCAGATACATTTTGATCTTTGGAGTTCAGAATCCAATTATATTTTTTAAAAAGTTGCAAGCGAACTGATGGAGTCAAATGATTGTATGTCAGGCTGGCTCAGTTAGTTAGGCTGGCATCTGAGTCAGAACGTTGTAGGTTCAAGCCCCACATTTCGACTTCAAACTTGTATAGTTGAACCTGACACTCCAATGCAGTGCTGGAGGTGGGGGCATTATCGGAGGTGCCATCCTTCAGGTGAGATATTAAGTCAAGGCAGGTCTACCTGTGCGGGTAGACATTCAAGATGCCATGATGGTGATTGTGACAGTGATTGTTTGTTTGATCCTGCAGCATTTCCAATGGCTGAACTTCTCGGTTTGCAATCTTTGTGTAACAATTAAGCAAACTTGTAGGCCATTTCATAGGAATATGCAACTATTGTGGGGTTATATTCGAGATAGTCAGATGAAATGAGCAATCAGAAATTAGTCAGATTTCCAGTGCAGCCAGATTGGTTTGACAAATTCAAGAAAGATAGATTTTTAGTGCAGGAAGCAATTTGAGTGGTATAAGACCTCCTGCTCTGCCTCGCCTCAGCTAAGTCATCCTTTTATTCCTAAATCATCTTGAAAGCTAAGGACAACCCCAGCCTCCTCTGTTCTACCATTAACCAACTCCGTCTACCCTCCCATTCCACTGCCACCCTCTCTCCAAATATGATGGATTTCCTCTAGTCCAAAGTTGAGGGGATCTGTTCTGCCGCCTCTAGCCCCTCTAGACCCGCGCTTTTTTCTCCCAGCATTCCCTCCATGGACCACCTCCAATCTGGATTTCATACTGCTGACAGCATGGAGACAGTCCTGGTGAAAGTGATAAATGACATCATTCTGTCCACCTGCGACCAGGGCTCTCTCTGTCTCCTTGACCTCTCGGACGCTTTCGATACTGTTGACCACTCTATTCTTCTCCACTGTCTCTCCTCTCACCATCACTCAATGGTTCCGTCCTTGCCTGGATCCAATCCTACCTTTCTCACTGTCTGTACTTCATGTCCACCACCAGCTTCTCCTCTAGCCCCCTCTGTCATGTGTGGCGTCCCTCAGGGCTCTATCCTCGGTCCCCTCTTCTTCAATCTATACATGCTTCTACTCGGTGATGTCATTTGGAGGCATAGAGTCAACTTCCATATGTATGCGGATGACAGCGAACTCTATCTCGCCACCTCCACCCTCGACTCCAGGACCATTGTTGTCCTGGCTAATTGTTTGTATGGAATGAAGTCCTGGACGAGAGCCAACTTAAAATAATAATAATAACCCTTGCATTTGACGTCTTCTAGATGTCTTAAAGAGCTTCACAGAACACACTGTAAAGTGAATTGACTGTATATTTGTGGGCGAAACGTGGCAGTCAATTGTGCACAGCAGTGTCCCACAAACAGTCGTGGTTTGAAGTGACCGATTTTATCGTGGAGTCCTGTAGCTCAGTGGTTAGAGCACTCGCTTTGCAAGTGAGAGACCCGAGTTCAATTCCAGACAGGGTGAAACCTTGGGCAAGTTTCCTTACTCCACACACCTAATAATAATCCTCCAAAACCAAACACAATAATAAATTGGTCATTTTCAATCCACGACTGTTTGTGGGACATTGCTGTGCGCAATTGGCTGCCGCGTTCGCCCACAAATATACAGTCAATTCACTTTACAGTGTGTTCTGTGAAGCGCTTTGGGACGTCCTCCCGACGTGAAAAGCACTATATCAAATGCAAGGATTATTATTATTATTGTTTTTTTTTCTTGAGGGACTATTATCAGGTGTGTGGAGTAAGGAAACTTGCCCAAGGTTTTCCCTGCCGGGAATCGAACCCAGGTCTCTCACTTGTGAGACGAGTGCTCTAACCGCTGAGCTACAGGACTCCATTGTTGGCAAGACAGAGGCCCTCCTGCTTGGCTCCTGGCAGCGCCTCCTCACCTCAGCTATTGACATTGTCCTTATTCCTGCCTGCACTCTTTACCTCACTGAGCCAATATGAAACCTCGGTGACCTTTTCAACCCTCAGCTATCCTTCAAACCCCACATTCGTGCCGTGACCCGTTCCGGCTTTCCCCACCTCTACAACATTGCCCGCTTCCACCACTGCCTCTCACCACAGGCCGCCAAGACCCTGATCCACGCTTTCATCAAGTCCCAGCTTGACTACTCCAACTGGCTGCTCACTGGATTTGCAAGCTCTTCCCTCCACAAGCTGCAGATTATTCAGAACTCTGCAGCTAATGTCCTCTCCCGCACTAGGCTCCACGAACCAATCACCTCCATTCTTGTTTGGCTTTACTGAGTCCCCATCCCTCAGAAAATCTGGTACGAATCCCTTGTTCTCACCTTCAAAACCCTCTACGGTCTTGCTCCACTCACCTACTTCTCCGACCTCCTAACCCCATATCAGCCTGTCCGCTCCCTCCGCTCGGTGGACACTAATCTGTTTCAGGTCCCCCATGCTTCCCGCCCCATCATTGGCAGTCGGGCATTCAGCATCTCTACCCCCACATTCTATCCCACAATCCCTCCGCTTCCTTCCCTCTCTTGCCTCTTTCAAGTTCTGTCTAAAGACCTTCCACTTCGACCACCACCTTCGACCTTCGGCCACCCCTCCACCCCCTGCCCTCCTCCCCTTCTGAGTCCAACTCCCAGCTTGGGTCCAAAAAGCCCCGACTGTCCAATGCCCTGGGACTTCTTTCCGACGTGAAGGGTGCTATACAAGTGTAATTTGTTGTTGTATAAGAAATGTCATTTCAAACAATGGGACCAACCACAGATTGATTCAATTGCCATCTTCATCATGGTAGTTCCTGTTTCCTTAATCCTATTGTTTGAGATCATTTGATGAATGGCCTCTGCATAGAATTGAATCTGACTCTGGTGCATATAGTGTGCTTCATTCCTTGTGTAATGGGTTTCATCAGCTTGTAATTCCCTCCATACAGATGCAGCTGCTGGATAAGTTCCCTGTTGAAGGAGGGCAGAAAGACCCCAAACTCCGTTGCATCCCTTTTTTGCCCGGTAAGTAGTGGTACTGTAACTAGTGGTTGATCTCTATAGGCTGTGGATTGCTCAATGTGGATCTGCAGAGTAAGAGGAAGAACCTCCCAAGGGAGGAGCAGGTGTGTGACAGCACAGCCAAGCTGCACTTAGCTACTGAGTCCGAAGGTTGTGAGTTCAAGCGCCATGTAGGGAGTTGACCTCACATAGTTTCAGCTGACTGGGGGTATGTGCGTGCTCAAAGGTATAGTTCTTTGGATGAGACGCTAAACTGAGCTCCTTTGTGCCTGTTCAAGTAGATGCTAAAGATCCTATGGCACAGCTCGAAAAGAGAAGGGAGTTCCTCCTGGTATCCTGGCCAAAATTGGTCACTCACTCCATTGCTGTTTGTGGGCCATTGCTGTAAGCAATTGTGCTGCTGCGTTTGCCTACAAATATGGTCATTCCATTTCACAGTAAATCCTGTGAAGATGCTATTCAAAATGCAAGGATTATTATTATATTATTGAATGGTTAGACACAGAGTTCATTTCTGGTTGTGTTGAACCTCCTAGTTTTGGAAGAGAATTGATAATGCACTCGAATGAGGCAATCTTTTGTCATTTGTTCTATGGAAGCTGATTTTTAACAAATGGATTTTGTTCTCATGTTGCCCAAAATAGTCTGTATCAAACAGTGAGGTGTCGAGGGGACAAGAAACACTTGTGTCTTTTCAGTTGAAGAAGAGGAGATACTTACTTTCAGAGCCACCGAGAAGAGAGTGAAAACATTGCTTCACGAGGAGTGGAGAGACAGGGTGGCCTTTCTCCTCCGTCGCTGATTTTGGGCCATTGTGTTTTAAAGTTTTAAGTCTAAAGGATTCTGGGAGGAAGAGTCATTACTATGGGAAATAGCTGGTGATGAGTGCCTCCCTGCTGAGAACCTATATAACTGCAGGAAATGAAGCAGGCGATCTGTGAGGAAGCATGTTGGCCTTCGCTGACCCTGACATCTCCCCCTGTCATAACACTTGTGGAAACAGGAAGTGGAAACATCAACAATTGCCATTGCATTTCTCCAGTTTCTTATTCACACTGAAGCTGAGAAACCCAGTGCTGCTGGACTACTACAATTCTCCATTTGAGCACTGCAAAGCCTCAGTGCCATTGTGTTTGACATTTCAGTAGAACTGATTGCTAGTTTCACATTATATATTTGCAAATTGATTGATCTGTATATGTGAGCACAGGGTACATCAGTCTGTGTGGAGTCCTGTAGCTCAGTGGTTAGAGCACTCGCTTTGCAAGCGAGACACCTGGCTTCAATTCCAGGCAGGGCGAAACCTTGGGCAAGTTTCCTTACTCCACACGCCTAATAATAATAATCCCTCCAAAACAAAACAGTAATAAATTGGTCATTTTCAATCCACGACTGTTTGTGGGACACTGCTGTGCGCAATTGGCTGCCGCGTTTTTGCCCACAAATATACGGTCAATTCACTTTACAGTCTATTCTGTGAAGCGCTTTGAGACGTTGAGATGACATGAAAAGCGCTATATCAAATGCAAGGATTATTATTATTATGTGGAGCTACCACAGCAACAGATGCTACTATATGTTTCTTAGCCACAGCGGAAGTCACAGGCTTAATGCCATCTGCAGCAATACATATTCCCCAAGTCAAGGTTATTCTGCTTCTGAACAGCACTGACTGCCTTATTGCAGTGAGTTATACTGGGGTCCTTTGCTACTCTGGGTAACACTGGCTAGTGAGTTTGTGATCTGCTGAGCCAGTTGCTGCACGTTTCTAGCTGAAAAGCAGCCATACAGCAATCTTGGTAAAATTACTCGTTGGCATTAGGAAAATAAGAATGGACTGGCGATTCTGCAGCTTTCCAAGAAATTAATGATATCATTGAGTTTTGTGTTGCTAATCAGTCCCCTGGAGCAGCTAGACTCTGCTGTGATCTTCCCACACACTCAGCTGAAAAAACACATTCAGTACTTTACTGTATGTTCGAATGTTTCTGGGGAGACTGTTCCTTCCCATTCTGAATGCATTTGCATCTGTAATTAATGGCCAGCCTTAGAACATCAGAGCCAAAAGAGGGGAGTTGCTTTAACCCAGGTTAAGTTCTCTACAATTCAGCCCTGAGTAATATTTGTCCATAATGCAAGCATTCAGAGATTTACAGTGGTGCAGTAATGAAACCAAAACAGGCATGTGGAGATGTGGATAAAGAATGCAATTAAAGGGATCTCAGTAACATTAAAGATTGGATTCTAATATCATTAAATGAGATTTATATTATATTTATATATAGTAGACTTGCCATCAAAATGTCACCCCACATTCCTTTTACATTGCTTGGTCTTGTTGTGAAGGTCAAACTGGAGGAAAGTGGGGTAACCCAGAAGAACTTTTGCAACTGCCTTTGTGAGGCTGCAAAATGCGATGCAATAATCTCTCAGTGGAGCTGGGTGTTGGGGGCATTTGTTCAGATTAGGCCTTTTGAAATAATGCATTTCAATTATCACATTTGCGCATTGGTTGCCACGTTTCGCCCACAAAATATACAGTCAATTCACTTTCCAGTATATTCTGTGAAACGCTTTGAGATGTCTTGAAGACGTGATAAGGTGATCTAGCAAACGCAAGAATTATTATTATTATTTAGGTAAATGTTTTTGGTCAGCCGGGTAGCTTGACACACAAGAAAACCATCACCATTGTAAGGATCTCTAAACCACACAGAATTCCACATATGTTTGCCACCTTCATGAATATAAACTTGTCGGTGTGTGAAATGGAATGTGTACTCTCCCTGGAGGGATACACCCTAACATTAAGCTTTTATCTTGAGTATCAACAGTATGTAATGTCTTAGTACAAGTAATAATAATCTTTGCATTTGATATAATAATAATAATAATCCTTGCATTTGATATAGCGCTTTTCATGTCTTCTAGACGTCCCAAAGCGCTTCACAGAATATACTGTAAAGTGAATTGACTGTATATTTGTGGGTGAACGTGGCAGCCAATTGCACACAGCAATGTCCCACAGACAGTCGTAGATTGAAAATGACCAATTTATTATTTTTTTGTTTTGGAGGGATTATTATTAGGCTCTGTGTGGAGTAAGGAAACTTCCCCAAGGTTTCGCCCTCTGCCTCAAATTGAACTTGGGTCTCTCGCTTGCAAAGCGAGTGCTCTAACCACTGAGCTACAGGTATAGCACCTTACCACGTCTTTGAATGTTTCTATCTCAGCAAAATTCACAATTTGCAAACCTTAGCTGTCTTATTTTGTTACCAGAAAAGCGGTTTCCCATCCACTCTTTGTGCTGATGTGAATCTGTACTGTATCACTTGCCAATTAGCCTGAATTCCTCATTATTTGCTCCATAAGTTCCTTCCTTATTCAAACTCCCCCCCCCCCCCATGTAAACTTATTGGCTACATGTTCTTTGCAAGATATTGCGAATGCATATTAGCTGCTCGTTTGCATTCACAACAATATTAATTTCATTTACAATTAATCTCATTTTATTAAGGTACTGTGAGATGTTTCTTCCACGTGAAAGGCAAGGGTGGGATATACAAGGCCAAAAATTCAAAATAAGCCATGTTTTAATTATCAATATTATTATAATGGGCACACAGTAAAAACGGCCACCAGTCCATGCCAGGTTGCTGCTGATGTCACACATTGTGAACGTGCAGGAAACCAGCAACTGCTCTTGTGAGTATTTCTGGCGTTACTGGAGGATCCTGCTCCTGCGCAGTATGTGCTGCAAACTGGAAACACTCTCTTTCAAGAAGGTACTTTATCAATGCAAGTTGTGGTTGTTTTGTTGATCTTATACGGAGAAGACCACCTGTATCTAACTTAACTGAATTCACCCACTCAGTTCCTTGTTACTCAGGCTATCGCCCTATCCCATTGAGCCAAAGAACATAAAATCTGAGTTTAAAAAATGACCATTTGGCTAATCCACCCTTCACATCTCATACCATTTATTCCCCTATTTGTAAGCGCTACAACAACAAGATTCCATTTATTGAGCGCCTTTCACGTCGGGAGGACGGCCCAAGGCGCTGTACAGTTGGGTCAGGACCCAAGCAAGGGGGAAATGGTCAGGGTGAGGGGAGGGAAGGGAGGGAGCGAGGAGGGGGGAAATGGTCAGGGTGAGGGGAGGGAAGGGAGGGAGCGAGGAGGGGGGAAATGGTCAGGGTGAGGGGAGGGAAGGGAGGGAGCGAGGAGGGGGGAAATGGTCAGGGTGAGGGGAGGGAAGGGAGGGAGCGAGGAGGGGGTAGAGAGTCGAGAGCGGAGCTGAAGGCACAGGTCAAAGAGAAAGGTCTTGAGACCGGCCTTGAAGGAGGAAAGGGAGGAAGCGGCGAAGGCACTGGGGACAGAGTTCCAGAGCCTCGGGGCTGAGAGGCTGAAGGCCACCGATGGTAGGGCGGTTGGGGCGGGGGATGTGGAGCAGACCGGAGCCAGAGGAACGGAGGGTACGGGCAGGTAGGTAGGGGGATAGTAGGTCAGAGAGGTAGGAGGGAGCGAGGCCGTGAATGGCCTTGTAGGTGAGGGTGAGCGCTACTCTCATAGCCAAACCTCATTGGTAAATGAGGTGGACTGTAGTCTTGGGTAATACTGAACATTCCTTGTACTTGCCTCCGTGTTAATGCTGTGTCATTAACCACATGCTGGATTGTCTGCTATTTAGAGTATTTTCTTTAACCAAGCTTCCACCCACTCCCTTCCATAAGCTAAAGCCATTGCCACTTCTTTATGTTTGCTATTCAGCACTTGGCAAAGTTGTTGTTGGCTGTGCATTTATAGCTGTTTCAGTAGAATGAATTCCAAATATTAAAGCATATTGGCCCTCGACCACTGCCTTAGTTTCCATATTCGTTTGGAATACTGTGATTGTGGATAACAATTATTGTCCATTTGAGAAAATGAAATCTGAAGTTTTCTTGCTGTTTCTCAGATCCTCGCTGTTTCCAGGCATTGCAATATTTTCAGTGACTTGTACACACTTCAGATTGGCTGCTCACTAGATGAAGGGATGCTGCTTATGCATGATTGTGGTCTGAAATTCTCCAAACCTTGTGGGTCTTCACCCACACAATCAGTTCCAGCAAGTGACTCACAGCACAAAGCTCTGGTTTTGAAATGCAGAATCCTGCCCAGAATTTCTTGAATAGAACACAGTTGTTCTGTACAGTTTGAGCTGGTGTCAAATGTTTTTTTATCAATTTCAAACCACAAAGTCAAATTCTACCACCCCCTACCCCATACACATCTTTAATTAAAACTTGTCCATCTATTTAATGTTTCTCAAAGAAAAAAAACTCGGTTAACAAATGTGTAAAAATCAACAGTCCCAAAATATGGTGGGCCAAATGGTCCCCTTCTATGTTCTGTGTCTGTGTACATGTTGGGTTGTGATGGGATACTGGACACATTGTGCTTTTGTAGCAGCTGCTGAGGTGTTTTGTGCATCATCATTTGTTTACATTGAATTGCAGGTAAAATCCTGTTCAGAAGGAGCCATGTAAGGGATGTGGCTTTGAAGAGACTGAAGCCCATTGATGAATACTGCAGGGTAAGTGCACAGTAACTCCAGGGCACTGAGGGCTGGTCTGTTTAATACTGCACACAAGTGTCTGTACTTACCACTAAGTGGTTTCAAACCGTCATCTTCTGAAATCTGCAAACAAATGTGATGTTGAAGGGTATTAGTATAAAGTCACATTGTTACATGCCAAGGTGGAGAGTGGGCCGTCCAACTGCAATATTCATGCAGCAGACTAAGGGGCAGGTGTGGGCCAGGAGTAAGGGCCGGTTAATTTGGACCAAGTGGTCAATTTTCAAGCTCTGCAATATGGGGACTACCTCCTGTGTGTGTATGCTGGCGGTCTGTGTGTCTGCTGGAGGTCTGTGTGTATGATGGAATGTGTGCTGGAGGTCTGTGTGTGTACTTGAGGTCTGTGTACTGGAAGTGCGGGGATAGGGGGAGGGAAGGATGACTATGCAAATACTTCTGGAGTTTGAGGGGGAAGCACTCTGTACATGTGCTCCTGGGCTAATGCAGAGAACCTGGGTTAATAAGGGCCAACATGGGCTGTGCCCAATATTGAGCCTGATCTTGTACCGGACACAATGTTTAGTAAAAGAAGCAGAAAGTTACATCACCAAACGCACTAATGTGCAGTGAGTTGGGAGAAAGCTGCCTTGTTTCAGTATCCGAGGCTGACCCTGGTTCAACAGAAAAACGAAAGGCTGAGCGTTGGCTTTGTGCATTTACAATGTTTGACTAATGTAGAATGAATGGAGAGAGGGAGACAGGTTAGTGGGTGCAGTAAGAAGTCTCTCGCCTCTGAACAGGCAAACCACTAATTGGCTGCTCTGGTGTAGTGTTCAAGTGTGCCCTGACACATCTGACCTTGAATTAGAAGTCTATAGTTCACATTGTTGCTATCAGGAAGGGGGCAGTTCAACAAAGTTCACATTACGTCATTGCTCATTACATAAGTTCACATTACGTCATGCCCATTACAATCCAAATATCACATTAATTCTATAATTATTTATTATTGGCAAACTCTTTCAGAGGTCGAGTGGAATTTCTTGTCCCAAATGTAATCTGACAGGATTGCAGGTCTAATGTCTGGTCCAACAGTAACAGCTGTTCAAGAATATGATTTTAATGATGTAAAAAAAAAACATTTATTTCATAAACTAACAAAGAATCCATCCATAGAACTGTACAGCAGGAAAGCCATTCAGCCTGTCCCAAAGGTTTCAGAACAGAACTGTTTGGATTTGTAGCGAGAATCATATCTAATCATTGATTAGTGACTAATAATAATCCTTGCATTTGATTTAGTGCCTTATCACGTCTTAATGATGTCTCAAAGGGCTTCACAGAATATACTGTAAGGTGAATTGACTGTATGTTTTGTGGGTGAAACTCGGTAGCCAATTGCACACAGCAATGTCCCACAAACAGTCATGGATAGAGTGACCTTTTTTTTGAAGGGATTATTACCGGGGAAAGAGATCCGCCAATGAACTAACAACCGGGTTCCTACTGAGTGTTAGGTAAACAGAGGCATGTGGAGTAAGGAAACTTGCCTAACGTTTCACCCTGCCTGGGAATCGAACCCAGGTCCTCTCACTTGTGAGGCGAGTGCTCCAACCAATATGCTATAGGAATCCACATTACTCCAAGTATGCGTTATTTCAATGTTAGTTGCTTAGTTTATCTTATTGCATTAGGGATTTCTGCCTGATATTGTGCCTGTAATGTCCTCAGTTGTATATTCTATTGCACTGCTAACTTTAAGTATTTCTTGTTCTCAAGGCTCTCATCCGACTTCCCCCCCTAATCTCAGAATGTGAAGAAGTGCTCCATTTTTTCCAAGTTCGGCCAGATGATCTGAACCCACCAAAGGAGTAAGTACTGATCCATACAAGTCTCAGCTTGATGACGACATGGGCTCCACACAATCACAAGTTCATTATGTTTTTTCACTCTATCCTCTCCCTCCCTCTCTCTCCCTCCCTCTGGAGTGCCTGCCTCATTACAGTAATTGGTTGTGACAATGCTGGGTTGATTCAAGGTGTAAGAAAAGCAGCTAAGATAACTAAATTGTATGTACATTAATAGCAGAATGTTCGCTGCTGTAAAATATGGACTGGTTTTCAGCTCAGTTGGTATCATTTTTGCCTCTGAGTCAGGTCGAGTGTTCAAGCCCCACATCAGGCCTGTGAACTCATACATTCTAGGCAAATACTCCACCCCAGTGCTGAGGGTGTACTACCTGTTCAATTGGACATAAAAGATCTCATGATACTTCTTAAAAAAGAGAACCGAGTTTCTCTTGGTGCCCTGGTCAACAACTGGACAAATTGGTCATTCACTTATGGCTGTTAGTGAGACATTGCTTTGCAAAATTGGCTTCTGCACTAGCCTACAAAATACTGAGTCACTATTCTTCACAGTAAATCCTGTGAAGAGCTTTGAGCCATCGTGCTTTAACATAAAAAGTGCAATATCAAATGCAAAGATTACTCTTATTTAATCATAGAATCGTACAGCACAAAAAGAGGCCATTCAGCCCATCAAGTCTGTGCCGCTCTTTGAATAGAGCAATGTAATGTCAATCCCACTCCCCAGCCCTTACCCCATAACCCCATAACCCTGCTGACCCGTCCTCCTCAAATACCCATCCACCACGTTTTTAAGAGTAGTTATCGAATCGGCCTCGACCGCCCTTTCAGGCAATGCCTTCCAGATTCGAACAACTCGCTGCGTGAAGCAATTTCTTCTCACCTCCCCTCGGCTTCTTTTAGAGACTGTTTTGAATCTGTGACCTCGAGTCACCGACACACCCGCCAGTGGGAACAGTTTTTCCCTCTCTAACCTATCAAATCCCCTCATGATTTTGAAGACCTCTATTAGGTCTCCACGTAACCTTCTCTGCTCCAATGAGAATAATCCCGGCCTCTCCAGCCTTTCCTCATAATCAAGGTCCCTCATTCCTAGTACCATCCTCGTAAATCTCAGCTGCACCCTTTCCAATGCCTTAACATCCTTCCTATAGTGTGGTGCCCAGAACTGGGCGCAGTATTCTAACTGAGGCCTAACCAGTGTTTTATATCGGTTAATCATAACCTCCTGACTCTTGTACTCTATGCCCCTATTTATAAAGCCTAGTATCCCATATGCCCTTTTTACAGCTTTATCTCCCTGTCCTGCCACCTTCAAGGATTCATTTACCTGAACCCCCAGGTCTCTCTGTTCCTTCACTCCCCTTAAGATTGTATTACCGCCTATATTGCCCCTCATTCTTTCTACCAAAATGTGTTACCTCGCATTTCTCCACATTGAAACTCATCTGCCATGTGTCGCCCATTTTACCATTCTGTCTGTCTTCCTGCAGTTGGCTACTATCCTTCTCACTGTTTACCACCCTCCCTAACTTTGTCATCCGCAAACTTGGAAATGGTACTTGCTATACCCAAGTCCAGATCATTTATGTATATTAAGAAGAGCAGTGGTCCTAATACCGATCCCTGGGGAACGCCACTGTACACTTCCCTCCAGTCAGAAAAGCAGCCGTTCACCACAACTCTCTGTCTCCCAGTGAGTTCTGGATCCATACTGCCACTGCCCCTTTTACACCATGGGCTTCTACCTTTCTTACAAGTCTTTCATGTGGCACTTTGTCAAATGTCTTTTGAAAGTCCATATAAACGACATCAACTGCACTCCCTGTATCCACCCTCTCCGTTACCTCATCGAAAAATTCTATTAGATTTGTTAGTCAAGATTTGCCTTTAACAAATCCGTGCGGCTGTCCCTAATTAACCCATATTCTTCTAAGTGAAGATTTATTCTGTCCCGGACTATAGTCTCCAGGAGTTTCCCCACTCCTGATGTTAGGCTGACTGGCCTGTAGTTCCCAGGTTTATCCTTCTGTCCCTTTTTGTACAGGGGAGTCACATTGGCCACTCTCCAGTCTTCTGGCACCACTCCTGTGTCCAACGAAGATTGAAAAATTGTAGCCAAAGCCTCCGCTATTTGTACCCGTGCCTCCCATCGTAATCTTGGTTGCATCCCGTCCGGACCGGGCGACTTATCACCTTCAGCCCAGTCAACCTTTTCAATACTTCCTCTCTGTTTATACTTATCCTATCCATTTCCTCTGCTCTCTCCTCCGATACTGCGGCATTTGGTGCATCCACTTCTTTTGTGAAGACAGATGTAAAGTATTCATTCAGCACATCAGCCATGCCCTCCGCCTCCACAATAAGATTTCCCCCTTGGTCCTTAATTGGCCCCACCCCACCTTTAACTAACCTTTTTTTTCTTGATATGTTTGTAATATACTTTAGAATTCCCTTTAATGTTACCCGCTAACCTTTTATCGTATAATCTTTTTGCCCCTCTTATTTCCTTTTTCAGTTCTCTTCTACATTTCCTATATTCTATTTGGTTGTGTTATAATAATAATAATAAGAATAATAATATGTATGTATCTTGGGTTTGACATGTGAGGAGTTATTCTGTAAGATTGGTGATGATCTTGGGAACAGGTGCGTTTCCTGTGATCTGCAGCCTGGCCTCGGGCTGTGCTGTACTCTGGGCATGTTTATGCTATATTTCTGTGGTTTTATTAGATCAGGTCAGCATTGTTTCTGCTGAGAAGGAAATTGGTTTCCATGTTTATCCAGAAAATCATTCTGAGGAATATCAGGAAACCCAGGATCCTTGTTTCCTAGCTGCCTACTCAGGCAAGTTTGCAATATGTAACCTTTCACTTGGGCAATTTAAATAGGTAGATCAGCAGCTATTAATCCTCATATAATCATTGTTGGTAAAAGGAAAGTTGTACTTCCCTGCCAGATGCGCAGACTTGTATAGACTCTGGTTTTACATTTGGTTTGTTAGAGATTAGAGGGTAGTCACTGACCTGTCATTAAATTACATGATGAGTTGCAGGGAGGGTGCGAGTACAGAGTCTGTCTGACCAGAGTACTGTCTGAAATCTAACCATTGCAGGGTTAAGGCCCCACTAGGTAGATAACAAGTACGTAAAATTCCCTGGCAGCTTCCTCGGGGGCCCCACAGCTCAACAGCCCATCCTCCTACCCACAGCTCAGACTCACATCTTTACCCATTGATGGTTCACCAGTTGGAAGTACGGTGCTTGAGCAGCAGCTGCTTATATCTCTAGATACCAATCAGGTATATACCAAGCCATGGATTTATGAATGTGTGTGAACCAGGTGTTCAGGTAATGGCTTCCAGCAGCTGGCACCCAAAGCCTCATAGTTTCTTATTTGCTATTGTCTGCATCATGTGTCGGGATTGTCACATCTGCTGCAGCTCTCTGCCTGAGCCGTAGCAAGAGGATCAGTGTCTGCTTCGTGTCCGAGTTGGTGCTCTGCAGGCTGATGGATCACATCAGTACCAACCAAACCACAGGCTGATTCCAACAGCCACCCCCCCCCCCCCCCACCATTCGCACTAGTTTAGGTAAGTCTGTGTTCGATCAGATGGGTTTTTCCTGTTTGAATACTTCTTAATGTAAGCCATAAATCAAAAAATATTCAATCCAGAAAATGTATTTTGTTGCCGACTGACCACTGGATTACAAGCTCATATCACCACCTAGTGGCTGTGTGCGCTCCCACTTGTATTGTGTAATGCATCCACTAAACACTCCTGTGGATGTACAGATTCAAATTCACTGAGTGACTTCCTGAGATTTGTTCATTGTAATAGTTCAGTAAATATTTCCACCATGTTTACCAACCACTTATGTTGATTTAAAGAAAATGCTGATATGTGAATGAAAACTTACATTGCTATTCTGGATTCCCAAGGTGTGTGTTATAGAAAAGCTGCTGTAAAGAAAACACAATGTTAGTGTCAATGTCCATCCTCTCTCGTTTCACAGATTGGAGCATTTTAAAGTTTGTAACCTTCAAGTTCCATGAACAATGGGCTTTTAATGGTTCATTATAGTTCAAAGAGCAAGTGTAGAATGTGAAGATGCAAACTAGGCTATGGAAATGTTCAGAGACAGAGAGAGGATTTTTTTGTTTAACCAGATGTTTAACAAAAGTTAACTCCAGCAATACCCAAAGGCGTATACTGTTGTCCCCAATCCTTAGCTGTCATCAATCTGTGCCAACTGCTCTCTAGAATTAGATAAGCGGGTGCGACCCTCCAGAAAGATTACACATCACATTCCAGGGAAATTTCCATGTGTTGGTTGCACTCGACTGTCTGGTCTGGATACTCATAAACATGGTGATAGGTTTCCGCATGTATGAGATATTTTGTGATCCCCCTCTCCAAAAAAAATTAAAGCATTTACAATTCTTTCATTTCTTTTAATACCCCAGGGTGGCAACCATCTTAGTCTGGGGGTATTCCCATCTTCAGTTGTAGTCCAGAACCAGCCCCAGCACGTTGGGACGTCCTCCCGACATGAAAGGCGCTATACAAATGTAATTTTGTTGTTGTTGTTGTAGTCATTTTTCTATTACAGTTGTTCTGTTATAATAGGTTCCTTACATTTCTCCTCTTCATTCATCTCTAGTCTTCCTGTGCTTCTGATGTCAAATGCTCCTTCCCCACTGTGAAGATTGAAGTGGAATATTTATTGAACAGTTTTGCCGTGTCCTTATCTTCTACTGCTCTAACAATTACTTTATGTCTGTTTTTAACTCGCCCACCTCCCCTTTTATCACTCTTGTATTTAGAAAAACCTTTGTTACGAAGTGCTCTGGGATACTGCCCTGTGTAAGGGGTGCTATATTAATGCAAGTTGTTGCTTTTTTAACATTCCCTCTTTATTTACCCTAAAGGCGCTATACAAATGTTATCTTGTTGTTGTTTTAGTTTCACGGTTCTCTTCATTAATTTTTATATTTCTCCC